TATGGATGCACAGAAAGCTTTAGAATTCCTGATGCTGAGGTTATTGTTATCTGTAAATCAAGAAGTATTGCACCCGGTTGCATTCTTTTCATCGAGTTGGTCGCATGTAATTATTTAACTAGTGTTGGAGATGTTGTAGGTCCAACACGTTCTTTTGATGCTCCAATAACGAAGGTGTTTGACCCCGGAGGATGGACGATGAATGACACACTTTTTCCCCGTTCTTTGTTGAATTTCCAACTTGAGGACAAGTTGGTTTTTGAGGCGGGGAGAGTGATACGGGATTTATTATTATTATTATTATTATTATTATTATTACTATTATTAATGGTTAGTGGTTATTATTATTATATTAGGTAGTATTATTATTTATGGTTAGTTAATTATATTATTATTAGAAAGTAATATTCTATTGTTAGGATATTTGTTACCATTTATAATTAGGATTCCTATATTATTTAGTTTCCTTCTATGGTAAGGATTCTTTAGATGTCCTAGCTATAAATGTATCCATTTCAATAAATTATTTATCAATAAATAAAGAAAATACTTTCTCCTAAACCTTAATCTCTCTCTTTCTCGCCTCTTTTGTTCTTGGAGCTTGAAGGTGCTCGAAATCCTTCTCTATCCCGATACGATTCCGTATCAAATTGACGGTCTACATTTCGTACGTAGAAACGTGGATCGTACATTTACAATAATACAATTCTACTTCGTAATTTCTTTGTCCATAAAAAACCGACATACCGAAGTTCGATCTATTTTGTTGGCCACTATTATTTTATCATTGAGATTACCTCTTTCAAAATGAGTTTATCATTCATTAATGCCAAATTGCCAACTATACTCGTGCCCTCCCTTTAAAATGCGGTAATTTATACTCCGTATAATTTTGTATAATAGAGAAAGATTAATCTTACGTCAAATATTTAGTGTCAGATTGTTACATCAGTTTAATTAGAGCACCTATAGTGCTACGATAATAAAAATGATTATTCCTACTCTAACATCCACGATAACCCCATCCCTTAGCTCGTCCTGTCCCTACCGCACCCCCGCATTCCCTCCAATGGCACCATCCAAATTTTTGTTGGCTTTGAGGTCAAATAAAGTCAAGAAAGCTTGGGCTGTGCATTTAGGTGGGGCAAATACTTTTATGGTCTCCAGGCCCATTCTAATCTAATTATATAGACCTTACTAGTGTTGATTTCTTAGTATTAGTATGAGCATTAGGATTATGATTAGAATTAGGATTAAGGGATTATGATTTGAAATAAAACTAGGGGATTAGAATTAGGATTAACATTAGGATTAAGACTAGAATTAAGATTAAGATTAGAATTAGGATTATGATTATATTAGAATTAGGGGATTAGGATCATGATTAATATAGGATTAGGATTAAGATTAGCATTAATTACATTAGCTTGGTAGCTTGGGTGAAACATACTTTTTTCCACATTAGCTTCTAAGCTCAATAACTTTTGTGAGAAGGTCTATAATTTAGGTGTGAACTTTAGGTGCACGCAATAACCATTCTTGGATGGGGGGCAGGGGTGCACTAGGGACGAGATGGCTGAGGGATTTTTTCGGGGATAAGAATAATCAATTAATCAATTTTATAATTGGAAAACCATAGGCGATCCAATTGAATTGGTATAATAATCTTACACCAATAAATTAGTGTAAGATTACCCACTCTCTCTATAATAATATTGTATTGTGAAATTTATTTTACCTATTTTATAATTACCCTATTTATGTAAATTACCCTATTTTATTTGTTGAGGAAATAATAATTTATTTAATACAAATTTGGGCAAATAACTTCAAATACAAAACAAAGAATTGGACAACTAAATCGGGACGGAGATGATATGTAAATGGTGTATTGGCGTGCATCATCATGATCGATAAATACAAACTACATTTTCTCTGCATTTCAAAATATTGGGCAAACGTTTGTTTTACGTGTTTGGTGATTTGGGGCCAAGCTAAATACACGAGTTTGTATGTTTTGGTCACTCTTCTACTCATTATTAGCAGTCGTACATCTTTTAGTTCTTTTTTATATAAGCATCTTTTTTTAAATAACATGTGCATGCTGCCCTGCCGGTTAGAGAGATCAATTATTGAATGTTATTACGGTGGGGTTCTAGTGACACCGGAGTATGGTGCCACTGGCATTTTGGAGTACCTCCGGTGCTACGTTCGCAAAATTGACGATTTCTACCCTCCCTAACTCACCCCCTAAACCCCCCACCCTACCCCCGCCCCTGCACCCCCACCCCCATCCCGCCGTAAGCCCCCCACAAAATGTGTGGCTATTATGCGTTGCATAATAGCCACACATTTTCCGTAAGCCCCCTACAAAATGTGTGGCTATTATGCGTTGCATAATAGCCACACATTTTGTGGGGGGCTTACGGCGGGGTGGGGGTGGGGGTGCAGGAGTGGGGGTAGGGTGGGGGGTTTAGAGGGTGAGTTACGGAGGGGGGTAGGAACCGTCAATTTTGCGAACGGAGCACCGGAAGTGCCCCAAAATGTCAGTGGCACCGGAGTGGCACCGTACTCCGGTGTTACTAGAACCTCACCCATGTTATTATAGTGGTATTATTTACTACTTTTGATTCTCCCATTGTAAAAAAAACTATATATAAAGTTCAAATAGGAGCATTAATTTTTAAGATGGGTGTTCCTAAATCCATTTAATGATGTCGTCAAATTCAATCGACAATCGCTCCCACACTGCCATCTAAATAAAACAATAAGTTGATATCCGAATAAAAAAGTAATACGTAGTAGGAATTGAACAAAACAACATAATAATCATTCAATTTTTTGGAGTCAAATTCGACGACGAATTTTGAACCTCAATTTTAAAAAATTGAAAATTATATTACTTCGTAGTATAAAAATGATTTCAGTTTGAAAGTAATTGATTATTAAATTTGTCTAATTTGACTTGAAAACGTCATACCGAAATAATACAAGAGGGCGGAGGGAGTAGCTAGATTTTTTGAGAAATAATTGATTCCCAGCGCTAGGCTACAAAAAGAACGCGATCAATAACATTTGGACAAAAAGAATAGTTTATATGTTCATGTACACACATATACTTTCTCTGTCTCAAAAATATATTTCCACATTTAATAAAATTTGTATTTAAGTAGAGTGTAAATTGGTTGTTAATCATCTATTTTATCTATGCTTTATGGTAAGATAGAACAAGATGTGAGATGTATGTTAATAATTAGTAATATTAAATAGCTGATTTGAATTGATCGGAGAAGAAAAGTTTTTTTGGAACGGATAAAAAGATAAGAGAAAAGAATGCTTCTATAGTGCACCTTGAGTGCATGCTATTTTTGTAGACTCTTTTACATAAAAAACTCTTTTTTATTTTTTATTTATAAAAAAATAAATGCTTATGTAAGTAATAAAGAAATGCTTATTTTGCTTATATGTAGGCCCATGGTGGACCATAAGTCTACCATATATAATTTGACAAGAGAAAATATTTTGTAGAACGAGGATAGTTTTATCAATGGAAGAGTGATATTCAAGTTTGAATGGAATGGGTGATGAAAACCACTCAATCACACCTCTCTCCATGGTGGTCCTCTGCCTTTTGTGTTATGAGTACACCCCAAGTTAAATATTGCATTAAAATAACATGAAAAAATGTTGCCTACTTCATCTATATCACACATTTGGTAAATCAAACCTCCTCTCTAATTTGTGAGTGGGTAGGCCAGGAGTATTGAGCTAGAAGAATGTGATAATAATTAAATTATGGAAGCTAGTGTCGTCAATTATCTATGTATGTGTGTGTGTGTACATAGATATATATATATATATATATATATATATATATATATAGATAGATAGATACAAATGGTCTCTAATAAAGAGGAGAGTTGAGTGGGCATGGGACATCACTGCTGCAGCAAACAGAAGGTGAAGAGAGGGCTTTGGTCTCCAGAAGAAGATGAAAGGCTAGTCAGGCACATAACCACCCATGGCCATGGCTGCTGGAGCTCTGTCCCTAAACTTGCAGGTTTGTATGTCTTATATATATATATAGTGCAAATTTCACTTTTTTTTTTCATATCTCATTGCTTTTTAGTAATTACTATTATTATTATTAATATGCAAATTGAATGGTGTATGTGTTCAGGGTTGCAGAGGTGTGGGAAGAGTTGCAGGTTGAGGTGGATAAATTATTTGAGGCCAGATCTTAAGAGGGGCTCTTTTACAGAGCAAGAAGAGAGGACCATAATAGATGTGCATAGAATTCTTGGGAATAGATGGGCACAAATTGCCAAGCACCTGCCAGGGAGGACTGACAATGAGGTGAAGAACTTTTGGAATTCTTGCATCAAGAAGAAGCTTATTGCTCAAGGCTTGGATCCCAACACCCATAATCTCCTTTCTCCAAACCAGTCCAAGAACAAGTCAACCAAAACTACAAACCCCCCACACCTTCATAATCAAGAATACCCCAATTCAACTTTCACAATAGTAGAGACACCACACCCCAATTCATCTCTTCCCTCATTGCATCATCCACCTAATAACAACAACACTACCACCATGATGGACTTCGGCCGCAGCTGTTCATCAGTGGAGAGTAGTTCATCGTTGATCCCTCGAACTGGGTTCGGGTTCGTGACAGGGAACCTGCAGGGAGGTTCCATGTTTGAATCGTCAAGCGCGGCATTATTTGGACCCGAAGAAGTCGTGCATGTACAACGAGAAGAAGAGATCGAACGAGAGAGGGAATTAGGCAGCCACGGTGGTAGGCATAACACGAAGATGGCCAACGTGTTTGAAGGCTCCAACTTTGATCAGTTTGTCGAGTTCATGGAGGGCGATTCGTCATTGATGCCTTGCGAAGGATTGTATTGCAATGTAAATTATCCACTTGTGTGGGATTGCTAATTAAGAGTTCGTTGAATTATATATGTTCAGTCCATAACTTTGCCTCCTCAAAGTGTATACAATCAGATCTTGAGAATGGTAGATGCATTTTCTTCCTTGATGAAGCTCTGATCCATGTCTTAAAAGTCACAGGTACATGTACAATGTTTTTTTTCCTTCATTGGGAAGTCTGTTCTCAAAAACGTGAATCATATGATTATTGTACCAACTCAAATATTTTGGCTTAATGGTGTACATAAAACAATAACAACTCAATACGGCCCCATAAGTCGGGCACGGAAATGATCTGCTACGCACTAGCTAGAACCTACACCAATATATGTAAAGGCAGTATTTATTTTCGATACTTCTATAAATTTAGATTTCGAAGAAAAAAAAGTTCATTCATTTATAGACTTTATGCATAAACTGTTGGTGATTTTAGTGTCATCAATTTATTTTGTGTAAATGGATTTACTTTGATCGGACAAGAATTTAAATAGACGTTGTCAAACGAGTTAGGAGGCGCGGAGTGCGCGCTCGGTCAACGATATTATAAATTCACTGCAGGGGTCCGGGGGCGGCAGCCCCCGGGTAGCGGGGTCCAAGGGGCGGCAGCCCCTGGCGGGGTCCAAGGGGCAGAGACCCTGGCCGGGGTCAAGCTGGAAATTTTTTATTTCGGAGGTTGTTTCTTTAAGAAAATCCTTAAGATTTTCGTGACCGGAGTCCAAAACGGTAAAGGACTCGTACATAATGGATAAACGTCGAAATTAAGCCTTCAACCGCAGGAGACCTTTCGTTCAAACTCGCACCTTTTTCTTCTTGCGCGAACGTACGCGTAAATCTACGCGAACGTTCATGTCCGATCACAAGGTTTATCGACTCTATAAAATAGAGTCTCGTGGTATGGGTTGAGTTACAGATTCTCGAGTGCTTGTTCTGAATTAACGTCTTATCCGATTGAAGTATTTCGTATACCCCGAAATAACTTTGATCTGAAAGCGTTTCGTACGCGATTCGGTATTCTATCGAGTTCTTCGTTTAACACTGCTTCGCAGTGTTCTTTATTATCTAAGTCCTACATAAATTCACACTAATGAAATACAAAAATGTTAGGAGTACACCAAAAAGTGTACTCCAACTATATCTCAAAGCTTCTTCACCACACAATACATCATATGGGATTCAATTTGTAATTTGTAAAATTGTGAATGGTATGTTGGCTGAATGGTATGTTAGAAATTGTGAATATTCTGTGAAGACCTCGATGTGTTGTGTCTACCCAAGAAGCCTGATTGTTTTGAAATATGAAGCATAAGGGTGGACGGTATGAAGCTAGTAAACTCAATTTGGCACCAAATTGGCTTAGGTGGCATTTTGGTAAAGAGGGTAACACCGCCCCACCCCTTTGGTACCAAACTCAATTGGCAAGAAGGTTTAGCTGTTTATCGATTATACTGCATGTGCGTCTCTCTTTTTTCGAAAACCTCTCTCGCCTCTCTATTATCTTTATAAAGATAATTAAAAAATGTTTTAAATCAATAATTACACTTTTATATACAAACAAAACATATATTTCTTTCACACTCATTTTCTCTGCGTATATATACATACAATATTTTAAAAATTAATATTAATAAGCACAACCTATATATAAAAACACAATGTTTCTTTTATGTTGGAGTTCCCACATCAAAAAGTAAAGATGAATACCACTAGCATATATAGAAGGGTGAAGCCCAACTTACCAGCTCAAGCTTTTGGGTTAAATTAGTGGATCTCGACTTTATATACAGGTGGTTAATTTTACCTGACACTCTACCCGTTGTTCTCGGCCCGCCAGAATTTCAACATGGTATCGGAGCAGGTCCGGTCCGGGTTCGATTCTTCCTGGTTGTTGGACGTGGGTTTAGCAAAAAAAGTGCTATCCGTTCGTGGTTTAGGTTGAGTTGGCTAAAAATAGATTGAGATGCAACTGCCCGTTGTGTGGGCTAGTTATAAGAGATTAATATTCTAGACCCGTTTGCCTAAGTGCTAACTAGGTTAGGCAAGTTACCACTTGAGGGAGAGTACTGGAGTTCCCACATCAGAAACTAAAGATGAATACCACAAGCATATATAGAAGGGTGAAGCTTTATCTATCAACTTAAGCTTTTGTGTTAGAATAGTAGATCTCAACTTTATATGAAGGTGGTTAATTTTTACGTGACACTCTACCCGTTGTTCTAGTCCCACCAGAATTTTAGCATTTTACTTCCATTATAAACCTTACTCGATCATCTAAAAGTCTAATTTTTACTCTCTAAAAAAATAAATTGTTATATTTTGGCTTCTTTGTTGTTTTTTTTTGTTTCAAAATTCTAATCAAATGGTAATCTTATCCTGGTTTCTATTTTAAAAAAATTTATTGGTTTGTATATTTAAAACTTAACTTACATTATTAGTTTAAGTTATCTATTTTAAAAAATGGTTGCAACAAATTCGTGAACTTGCATATGTACTGTACACCTCCACTTATAGTAAGAAAAGCATGAAATTAGTGGAATTTGATATCGCGCTGATGTGGAAGAGTGAGATAATGCAGTAAGAAAGGTATGAAGGGTATGTATACCCTCCACCCTAATAGATATTGGATTCCGGCTATCTCTGTTAGATATTGTTGTAACTAATTATTTTAGTTTGGTTTGGGTTTTATAGTTCGTTTATATATACGGTGGTGTAGACGTGTTAACTAAGTTTTGAGGATAAATAATAGATTTTTTGGCTCTTTACTTTAACGATACATTTTTCTTCATCTTTTTCATTCTCCTCTAGAATCTTCATGGATTCTTCATCTCTTTTCATGGTATTAGAGCCAATAAAGAATGTTGTGGTTTCAGACTTCTAAGCTCTTCTAATCTTTACTTGAATGGAGAAAATTACCCACAGTGGAAAAGATCTGCTGGAATTGCTATCAGAGCGAGAAACAAATTAGGTTTCATCACTGGATCTTTGAGTCTGGAATCGCAACTCTGGTAATCTCGTGGATTTTACACTTAGTTGAGTCTGGAATCGCTACTAGTATTCTTTATTGTGACTCTGCTGAAGAAATCTTGAAGGACCTTTCTAAGAGATTCAATAAAACAAATGCTCCTAAGCTTTTTCAATTACACAAAGATATGGTTATTACACTCGTTCAAGGAAATCATTCTGTGTCCAAATACTTCACAAAATTTAAAGGATTGTGGGACGCGTATTTGACTATGATTTCATCGCTACATGTAGATGTGTTACTCCAAGGAGTTATGCAAAAATATTGAAAAATTAAAATTTGATGCAATTTCTTATGGGCCTAAATGACACCTTGAAGATGCTCGAGGCCACATTTTGATGATGAGACTACTTCAAACATTTTGGTGATGGACATGTATTCTCTAAAGTGGGTCCTGGCATGAGCTCTAGAGCCTCACAAGTCTCTAACTCTCATTCTGACTTGCAGTGCAACGAGTTTTTCTGTTTCACAACAGAGGGAGGTGTGTTTCAAATACTTTGCTCTTTCAATTTCTGTTTGATTCAAAACGAAGAGGACGCCTTTGTTGTTCTTGTGTGGCATTCGTGAAGAAGAAAGGAAGCTCCACCCATGTTCAGAGACTTCTGAGAATTCACAACACATGTTGGTTTATGATATTATTGTGCGCCATGATGGGGTTCTAGGAGAATTTGGATGACATTGGAGGTTGATAGAATGTGTATGAAGTATCTTGATAAATTGTTGGCAAAAAATGGAATTAAAGGACTGGTTAGGTATTATTGGAGGGATGAGAACCCATTATAAAAACGTTTTGAAACCCCTTCAATTTGCTGATGATACTTGGGAAAGGTCAAGGTGTGGCTGTGAATATGGTTCTGTTCATCTGTATGTTGAACGTATAGGTGAAGCTGAAATCTTAAAGATAGTGAATGAACTTAATACCCCTACCAAACCAAGGCCTGGTGTTATTAAGGAGCTTGATGGTGAAACTCCATCTGTTACCCATCAATTGAAACCTAAAAAAGGTAAGGTGGTAGTTCATTGAGAAGAGTGTTGGCCATTTTCCAGGCAGAATTCGAGGGGATTGTACATGAGGAAGACAAAGGTGAACCATCAGTGATTGGGAATGAACCATCTCCTATTGATTTACAACAAGAGGACAAGAGTGAACCACCAGTGGTTGAAGATGGAAGAGTGAATGAAAATTGGGGCTTTACTTCTGATAATGGGTGGAAGAGTGTGTCAATGTATATCAATATGGATGCTATGGCAAACTGGTGTTTAATGAGAACTGGGACTTTGTTTATGATGACTGAAATATGGCTCCTGAAATTGTCAACAACACTAATGGAGATGGGCAAATGGGTGGGCAGCCAGCTAAAATAGGGGATGGGGGTTCACAGCCAGAGGTTGAGGATCCCGATGATGAATGGGGGTCTGAGGCTGAGAGTGAAGATGCTGTTGAGGATGCTGATGATTAAGGGGGTTCTGATTCTGAGAGTGAAGATGTTGTTGAGGATGTTGATGATGAAGGGGGTTCTGAGGCTGAGAATGAAGATGTTATTGATGGATGAGGTTCCAAGATAAGGGCTCAACATGTACATGCTGAAGGTGAACATGTAGATGACGATTTATATGATGATGACTACATGGTGGAGGTTGGTGATGAGGATTATACTAAGAATCCAGAAGAGTTTAATGCATTCAAAGAAGGGCATAAATGCAATGGAAGACCAAAAAAATCCTGACCAAAGTGGGCATGTAAGAAATTTAGATTTTGTGGTTGGGAGTGATTCATCAGACTATGGTAATTCAGATGAATTACATACACAATATGACAGTGAAAATGGAGGTGGGGAGAGATATCCTTCATTTGATAAAAAACTGGACATGGGTAAAAGCAAATTCAAGGTGGGAATGTTGTTTAAGAATGTGGATGAGTTTAAAATGGCAGTGAGGGAGTTTGAAGTAAGGTGTAGATGGAAGATCATAATACCAACAAACTACAGAATTAAGGTTTTGGCAAAGTGCTCTAATGGTTGTGGCTTTAGAATATTTGCTTCTAAATTTCGCCCCAAGGATCCACATGACCCTACTTTTCAGATTAAGAGTGGCTATTTTGTGCACAAGTGCAAGAAAGTTTATGAGAATTATCATTGCACTGCTGAGTGGATAACTAACAAGTACTTGGAGGACTTTAGAGTTAACCCAAATTGGGAATTGAAACACCTAATTGCAAGAGTAAAGCTCTAAAATTAATACATGGGGATGAAATCCGTCACTTCCAAAAGTTGTCTGACTACAGGCTGGAACTTTTGAGAACCAATCCTGGGTCAACAATAATGTTTAAGAGGGACATGGGTGTTTTTGAGGGAATTTACATCTGCTTGGAGCCTTTAAAAAAGGGGGTTTAAAACACATTTCAGGCCACTGGTGTGCTTAGATGGATGTTTTCTTAAGAGCACTTATGGTGGACAATTGCTGGCTGCAGTTGGCATTGATCCTAATGATTGCATTTTCCCCATAGCCTATGCATTATGTATGATAGAGAGTACTGAGACATGGGAGTGGTTCTTGAGGCTCCTTGGACATTGATCGTGAAAGTATTTTCTACTTCATGAGTGACAAACAGAAGGTATGAACTCCTTTACTCTCTGCTTTATGTACTTTGTTCAATACCATTATAATCATAACGTGCACTCTGTTTTTGCAGGGACTTGTTACAGTGATTCATAGAGTATTTCCCAAAGCTGAACATAGAATGTGTGCCAGACAACTTTACACCAATTACAGGGATCATTTTAGAGGTACGGATCAGAGTTAAAGGACTTGCTTTGGGATTATGCTAGAGCATCTTACCCAGCCAGGCTTGAATCTTGTCTAAGTAAGCTTGAAGAAAGGTGTCAAGAGGCTAGACAGTGTCTTAACAATAGACCAACAAAGAATTGGTCCAGGGCAGAGTTTAAAACATTTGTGAAATGTGATATGTTAACAAACAACCTGTGTGAGTCTTTTAACAAGTACATTTTGGATGCTAGAGATAAGTCACTACTGCTAATGCTTGAGATAATTAGGACTAAGTTAATGAAGCGCTTGTCAACCAAAAAGAAGGCCATGACAAATGTGAAGGACACAATATGTCCCTAAATAAGAGCCAAACTGACAGAGAATTTTGAGTATGCTCATCTATTCATTCCTACATTCTCTAGAGGACCAAAATATCAGGTGGAAGGTCCAGGTGATATGCAATATGTGATAGATATGGTTGAGTGGACATGCAGCTGTAGACGTTGGGATTTAACTAGCATCCTTTGCTCTCATGCAATCTCTTGCATTCTTGATAACAATGAAAACATAGATGCCTATGTTGATAAGCAGTACTTAGTGTCCAACTACATTGATATCTACAGTCACTATATCTACCCTATCAATATGATGGAAATGTGGCCCCATGATGAAACTGAAGCTCCAATTCTCCCACCACCACCTCCACCTAAAAAAAGGAAAAGAAGCAGTAGGCAAGAAAAAAAGAAGCATTGGAGCTTGAGAAAGGAAAAGCCTCAAGCAAAGCACCCTCCACCCAAGATGCAGGTTCCTCACAACACAATAAAGGAGGAAGATTAAGCAAAAAAGGAAAGGTGCGCATAAAATGCGTGGTGAAATTGGCCACAACAAAAGGTCTCACTCTAGTAAAGGGAATAGAGAATCAACACAGAAGCCAAACTTTTTTTCAAAATAGTCTGCTCAATTATTACTTTTTTTTATTTATCTGGGTACATGTTTGAGATGGAATATGGGTTGTGTGTATATGACAGAGAAAGGGTAAATAGAAAGCAACAACAGCCTGGAGACGGAACAAGGAAGAGGAAAGAACCACTAGTGAAAGGGAAGAGAAAGAAGAGAAGCAAATTAGGTCCAACAGAAGAAGATCATCCTGCTCCAGTTTAGTATAATTCATAATGTTGTAGCTGTGGTGCTTTGGTTTTTGCTAGCTGGACATAGAATGTGGTTTTTTGGTTTTTGGTAGCTCTATGTTGGTACTCTTTTTTGTAAATGAGTAGTCTTTGTGCCTTTGTTACTATTTTTTTTGTTTTTGTTTGATTGATAGCTAGTAAGGCATGTGTATGGGCACAAACTTAATTATTAGCTTCCAATATGTGAAATGAAGCATTTTGTACAATCCAATTCATAACTCTTTTGAGTATATCTTATTTCATTCAAGACATTTCTGATAGAAAACAAAATTTGTATACCGAAGTGAAATAAACGTCAAAGTTGGTGTACCATACGTGAAATTTACCCGCAAGTTGGTGTACCATACGTGAAATAGTTGATGTACCATACGTGAAATTTAGCCCGAAGTTGGTGTACCATACGTGCAATTTACCCCAGAGTTGGTTTAACATACATGAAATTTACCCTTTAAAATAAAACAACATGACAGAACTTGCTACAATCTAAAACACCACTCTTGAACAAAAATCAGTCTACAATCATCTCCATAATAAATCAGTCTACAATCGGTCTACAATCATCACTCTTGAACAAAAATCAGTCTACAATCATTCTGCATAATAAATCAGTCTATCAATCTACAATTACTCTTGAAGACATTACATTCTACAATCCACTACACAACAACATTTCACCAGGCTAAATAAATCACCGGCCACTTTTCTAACACTCTTGGCATACACAACCCTTACAATTGCAAAACAATAAGAAAAAAGCTATCAAAACTACCAAGAATAGACAAATCTAACATGTGTGACGTCCACAAAAAATCTTCTCCTTTGGCTTATCTTCTCTTATATTCTCAGCCTTCCTCATTAAGCCAAGAATGACATCCCGATATCGTGGATGAACTTCTGGATCTCTCCATTCCATGAACTGACAAAATTTGGGAGTCTACCAAAACAAAAAATCCTTTTTATCAAGAATCCCAATCGCAACGACCATCCATTGAAAAGTTCAGAAATTTCAATACACTTACCCCATAATTAGGACACCCAACGAACCGCCTTCTAGGATTTGAATCAGTCCATGAGGTCTTCCACACTACAGGTTCACGGCATCTGCAGTAGTGCATCGGTGCGCGACGGTAAGAGCTGTTGCTAGAGACAGTAGACATCAAATTCGAAAAGTTTCTCTCAAAATTAGGGTTTCTAATTGGGACAAGAGGATGGAGGAAAGAGGGCTATATATGTAGAAGAAGGGAGTCTATGGTACACCTATGGTTATTTTTCTTCCTTATTTAATGGCTTTGTCGGATGATGATGCATCAGAGGAGAGAGAAGATGGGAGTGATTTAAATGGGTGCGCCGAGTAGGCATTCGCGTAGGATTGATAACCAGTTGACTACTTGGAAACCAGCTAAAATACCGTCGGTGAAAGAAACTGGTAAGTTGGAGTACTTTTCTGATAGAAAACAAAGTTGGTATCCCGAAGTGAAATAAATATCAAAGTTGGTGTACCATACGTGAAATTTACCCCTCATACGCTCTCAATACTTTTAATTAATTGCTATGTTAAAAAAGACACTTTCCATGGGGATGAGGACAACTCTCTACATGGTTTTCTTTCAGCACATTTGGTTTCCAATTTTCAAAAAATAGGTATTTCTTCTTGTAACGACTTGAAACCCAATCTATCAAACTAATTAATTAGAAATAAATAATTATTTATTGAGATGGACCCACTGTTAATTGTTAATAATTGGTTATTAATTATATAAACTATATCATTGTGTACAGTTTGACAAGACGAATCTAACAGTGCAAACAGATATGGATTCAGAGGTAGTTGATTCGAAAGGGGTATTTTCAATGACGTACGTTAATTAGCTACAGAGTAGAAAACCCTTTGAGTATAAATATTAACCCAAAGTGGGTTTGCACACCCACACAGCCCATATTACACACAACTCTTGTGCCTCTCTCTCTTTTAGTCGATCTCTCTCTCTCTCCTCACCCCCTTTCTCTATCATCAACCATCCAGAGTAGAAGACTAGCAGCAACCCAGTGAGGAAGATCGGCCATAGCAGCACCAGTGATGAGGAGAATGGAATGGATGCAGCAGCATCCGCCACCACAACCATTCATCGTAGCTTCGTGCTCGTAGTTTAGTTTTCTTCGAATTCGAGGTGAGTGCGTGGTCATTTAATGCTAGATTATGCATAAAGATTTGAAACCAATGTTTGTGAATGTTGTTTGATTGATTGTATGTGAAGCTAGTGGTGAATGTTGTTTTGTTATGACCTTGAGCATGAAATCTAGGTTTTGGATTAATCTTGATTGATATCGTAAGGGATTACGTAAGAATAGGACTTTTGTAAACTTTTTAATGATTTATTCATGCTCTATGAGGTTATGAATGAATTGGGTAAAAATTTGGTACAAAATAACCTCCTTTGCGTGGACGGAATAAGGTAAAAGGCAGCACGTTTTTTGAATAATTCAAGCATTTATTCGAATAAGGCGTTGTCATAAGTTTTGGACGGGGTACTAGTTTATTCAAATTAGTAGGGATTTATTTGAATAAATTAGCCATCCAGTAGGTATGAGTTGTACAGCCTTAGTCGACTACAGGAACCCTTATTCGAATAAGATAACATCCTAGGCATTGGTTTATTTGAACGAACAAGGCTTAGTCAAATAGTTCGGAGTGTTGGTGACTCAAATCACTTCTGGACTTTGTGTGTTGTATGACGATAAGAATGGGTGTTCTCACCCAGCGATAGGTCGATATGTGTTTCATGATTGATTGTGAATGAACATATTAATTCTCATTGATGAATGTTATATTGTTAATGGATGAATAATGAACAATTCAACTAGTCTACCTAGAAGAACTCTAAAACAAACTAAACAGAATATAGTGGCAAGTTATATCATAAGTATAAAGAGGTTAGTGTCATGTTGTACCTGCTAGGTCCAATGGCTATTCATGTTGAAACATGCACACGAGGATTTTTGAACTATCACTCTAAAGGAGACAGGGATCTCACCCACCCAACGAGGACCTCCTTCGTGTGTTGAGTATGAAATTCGTTCCGAAGGGGAAGGACATGACTCCATAGTAAGTTAACAATGAGCAGCCTTAACCTATAATAGGTTATGATACTGAATGAATATAAGTCTGGGGACTAAAGCAATAATATTGTTATACTACATTTGATAACAATGTGTACTGTTATGGAGAGTAAGTGATGTTGATTATCTTGTGATTGTGTGCATGATACTCTATGAATATTATGGACTATTAAGTTTGTTTATGTGTATGATCGAGTGTTATATATTTCTCACTCAATGTCAATGTTGAGCATGTAGCGTGTTGTTTTGCTACACGCAGGTAATCAAGGTCAAGATGAATCTGGAACCAATCCTGGAGGGCAATGAAGATGAGGAGATGTGTGTGTGCATTATTGATGACTTTGAGTTTCTATTTATTTGAAAATGACTTATTAATTTTACGAGCTTGATTCCCAAGTTATGTTTCGAATATTGACTTAAGCTTTCAAATTGTTTTAAATTACTTGAATGTTTTTATTTAAAGTTAGAATTTATGTTTTTAAATGATTTGAAATATTAAGTGTATGGATACCAATTTTGGTAGCAACCCAGTCCACTGACCAATGTATTCGGGTTATGCAGGTTGGGGTGTTACACTTATTATTTTCTTTCTTCTTGTGATAAAACATAGTGGATCCTTAGATCACATAACCCATTGTTGGAGACCCATTGTGTGGTCCAAAACAAATTAATATTTTTTAAATATTCCTTAGCTAACCGTCATGATATAATCAAATAAAAACTATAGCTAGGGCAACTAAGGGTCGATGCTACTGAGAAAGTTTGTATATTTTCTAAACCAATTTAGCATGTACACACATTGTCAGGAAATAAAAAAAATAAGACTAACTACTACACATATGATAAGATTTATAAAACTTATTGTTAAATAAATATATAAACTTATAAATATAACTTATATAAACAATGAACTTATAATATAACTTGTAACTACATAACAAATACTTAAGTATATAAAAGTAAATAAAGTATTAAAACTTATATTTATAACTTAATAAAAAACACTTATAATATAACTTAATAATAGAACTTATATTAAAACATAAACACAACATAAGGGGGGTTGATAATAAATATTTTTGTGTTTTATATTTTTTTTGATAAAATGGGAGAAACAACCGCAAGCTCAAAAAGATACGATCAACTTCATTAACCTAGGTAAGCCATGAACACCACCAAAAACCTGAAACAAAACAAAAAGAGAACAAACATAACAAGTCAAACATTACACGTATAATAGGAATGTACACAATATATTATCTAACTTATACACATAAGAATAAAAAATAATTCAAAGACTCGAGTTGAATCATATTCTTGACCACATATAGAGAATTCTCAGCTTTCTATAAGGCTCGTAGTCATGTCATTCAAGAATTTCGTAATGAGATACATCAAGATTCACAACTCACCAATCAAGCGTTGCAATAATGAATTTAAAAGAAGAAAAAGTCTATAAAAGAGTGAATTTTTTTCATTCTAACTCCCATGCATAATGTATCCATAAAGATCATTTTATGCACTCAAATAAACTTTAACGTCAAATGATGATAATATTTTGCAGGTCTCCATGAACACCTCAAGAATAAAAATTGTAGTGTATTCACGTAGGAGAACATTACATATTTTTAGAAACTTAAAAATTATTTTTGTGCTTAAACAACCTCAATATTTTGAAAATTATTAGGCAATAGAATATTGTTAATTAATTTGTTTCCTTATTCCTGTATTTTCTTATTGTATTTTTACAATATTTCTTTTCCTACTTGGATTAGAACTCTCTCATGTAATCCGTATAAATAGGAATGTATCCTTCATTATTCAATAAGACCAATTATTATCAAATTGTAATATGGTATCAGAGCAAAGGTCTCCCAAACCCTAACCTTTTTTTGACAATACCGCCGGTCCATCTCCTCAGGTCGGTCAACCGCTATACCCATGGAAGCAACAGACCCCTTATACTCACTTCCATATGGAGTAAATTAAAATTATTACTCTAAAATCTTCACATTCTCATCCCTGAAAAACTCACAAATACAAACTACCTTGCATGGTCGCTAGATGTTCAAACCGCGCTTGAAGCGAATCTTCTTCTTGGTTGGATTAATGGATCCGCAAAAATTCCATCTAAAACTATCCTCAAAGATGGAGTTGTTACTCAAAATCCTGATTTTTCATCTTGGATAGTCATTGATACTCAAGTTCAAACCTATCTTCTTGCCGCATTAGTCTTGCTGTCCATAAGTATGCTTGTAGCTTCACAACTTGTGCTACCTTATGGGAAGCATTAACAACAAGGTATAACTCAGTTTTCACCACCCATATTTATCAACTCCACAATAAGCTACATACTCTTCGCAGAGGTACTAAATCCATGTCTCAATATCTTCACGAAGTTATAACAATCCTTGTTGATCTTGATCCTTTACGTGAGCATATTAATGAACGAGATATCATCAATTCTGTTATTCGTGGTCTTCTTACCCAATATTCTTCATTCAAACAAAAGATTCGTATGCAAAATAACGACGTCACTCTCAATAAACTTTATGATGGCTTACTTCAGAGGAAATTAAAGATGGCCACGGTCACGGTCGAGGAGGCTACCGCGGCCGATCGTCCTCTGGATGGTGCTTAAGCAGTTGTCGCGGTGATAGAAACAATGGTCGACAACCCTTAGCAAACGGTGACCATCACGAGATGTGCCTACGTGTCATATTTGTGATAAGCACGGACATTCGTCCATAGCATGCTGGTACGATTTCTATGACTCTTCTATTGCCTGTTTTTCTACTAGCGGACCCCGTGCGTTGCATGCGTCTTCAAGAAATCAATCTAGAGATTGGTATCTGGACACCAGTGCCAACACACATGTTACGTCTCACTATTCACAGTTTCAATCTTCTCATCCATATACTGGTACTGATACCATTATTGTAGGTAATGGTCAATCCTTGCCTACAACACTCACTGGCTCAGGTTTTGTCCACACATCCAATGGTAAATACAATATCCCCTCCCTTCATTATGTCCCCTCCCTTACATCTAATTTGTTATGTGTTTATCGTTTTACCAAAGATAACAATTGCACTCTTGTTTTTCACACCAACGATTTTCAGATAGTGGACAACACTACCAACCAAAAGCGGTACAAGGACCTCTGTGAGCATGTACTATATAACCTCCATTCAAATTTATCATCCATTGTGTGCCAAGCTATTCAAGCGCTACCTAGCATCGTTGAATAGGTCATCCCGCTCCTGTGATCGCCAAATCTATTTGGTCCTCATTAGGTTTTCAATTTTTAGAACCGTTACATTGTGAATCATGTCTTGTCTCTAAGTCGCGTTGTTTACCTTTTTCGTTGTCTAACACAAGGCCATGGCTCCAATTCACTTAATACATTCTGATGTTTGGGGTCCAACCTTTGTTACTTCTCTTAGTGGTTTTTGTTATTATATCTCTTTTATTGACGAATTTTGCAAATTTACATGGATTTATCCTTTAAAACAAAAGTCCAAATCCTACTCTATTTTTGTTAGTTTTGAAAACATGATTAAAAATGAAATCAACTCTAACATACAACTTTTTTCGAAGTGACAACAGAAAAGAATTTGTGAATACTGCTTTTGGACTTTTTCTTCAAAATCTAGGAATTATTCATTACACCTCTTGCCCTTATAGTCCATAGCAGAATGGAGTTGTAGAGCGAAAACACCGTCATCTTATTGAAATGGTTGTTTCTCTTCTTTACGACTCTAATCTCCCAACCACCTTCTGGGTAAAGGAACTTGCCATCACCAATTATCTTATCAATCGTATGCCCACAATGAATCTTTTTAACAAATATCCTTTTAAGGTTCTTTATCGTCACCCCCTACATATACCCATCGTTGTCCTTTTGGTTGTCTTATCTATCCATGGCTTAGGTCTCACGCCCAACACAAACTTCAGCCCCGCTTTACTTCGTGTGTCTTCCTTGGGTATCATCCTACCATCAAAGGGTATAAATTTTATGATCTTGTGTCTCAAAAAAATATGTCTTTCGCCATGTTGGTTTCATTGAGGACCAGTTTCCATATTCTAGGATGTCGTCTCTTTCGCTAACCTCCCTTATCACACCTATTTTTCCATCCTGCCCAAGCTCACATGCTCAAGTACCACACACCAACACTATGCCACAAACGCTTGAGACCAACAATTGTGTCCCAACCGACAGTCGACCGTCCCAACAACCCATTCTAGACAAGCTACATGCGGTCGACCCCTTAAATCATACCCTTAGCCACGGTCAGCCTCTCATCACCTCCTCCTCTAGACCTCTACAGACGATCCACTCACCGAACCACCCCACAATCACAGTCGACCGTCCTCTAGCCCAACCTATATCATCACCACTCTTGATAATACTCCCCCTACCACCGAGCCTAGCACATACCACCAAGCCTTTAAGAATAGTTTTTGGTGTCAGGCTATGGATGAGGAATTTATTGCTTTGAATGAACAACATACAGGGAATTTGGTACCACCGCACTCCATTTGGCTGTAAGTGGGTGTATCGTATCAAACAGAATGCTTATGGATCAATTTCAAAGAATAAGGCTCGTCTTGTAGCCAAAGGTTATCACCAGGAGTATGATATTGATTATAAGGAGACTTTCAGTCCTGTTGTTTAACAACTAACGGTACACCTAATTCTCTCCTTGGCTCTTAATCGTGATTGTCCTATTCATCAGTTGGATGTCCGTAATGCTTTTCTTCATGGCAATGTGGACAACGATATCTGTAACACCCTAATACGTCCAGGTCTGCAGCCCCTTTCGGACTAAAGTATTAACTTGGTAATCGTAAAATTTAAAACATTTTAAACACTTTTATTTATTATAATAATTATTTTCATAACAGAAACAGTACAGAGTTTTCAATATTGCGGAAGCTTAACAAATCATAATCACAAACAAAATTTATTTATATTCTTCCATTCAAAATCATCACATGCAGTCCAACTATCTCGCCTCCATCTGCCTCCAGGATCACGTCATATCATTCTTTCTGTTAACCTATGTGTAGCAAATAAAACATACTACACGCTCAGCGTTGAAGCTGAGTAAGCATATCTAATGCGTTGAACATCCATATAAACTAAATCTCAATTAATAATCAATTTGATATCATGCACATAATGTTCAGTTCAGATATTCAATAATCAATATTCAATTTTCAACATCCATTATTCAATCATTCAACATGTATATTCATCATCGATATTCAACATTTTTATTCATCATTCATCATACAATATTCATCATTTGTCATTCAACAATATCCTTAAACGATTCTTAGTCTAAGGTCGATCTCTTTCATATTTATCAATCCTTAAACGAATTCTAGTTTAAAATATTTCTAACCAATTCTTAAACTATATCTAGTCTAAGGTACTTTTATCCAATCCTTAAGCTAGGCCTAATTTAAGATAAACTTGCCTTCACTTAAGGTCAACCAGAAACCGAACAGCGGAATGCTCACTGTCGGGTTGGGTGGTATCCCCAAACGAGTTCCTCTAGTTTGGTTTGTAGATCCCGTACGTATGTTTTAACCCAGGCCACCGAATATTCATAATTATACCTGCAAAGCCTATTTCTAAGCTATCTTATAGGTCTTCTAGATAGTCTTAGAAACGAAATGTCAACCTAGGTATATCTTAGAGTTCTTCTAGATATCCTTACAATCCAAATCATTTCATAATCATCAACGTATTTATTTCAATTCATAATTTAATTCTCAATAATCATTTTAATCAGTGGATTCTTCAAGTCATAATCATAATAATCATTCATCATAATCATCAATCAACATAACATCCAATAACAAATAGCGGCCTAGTTTCGAGTGTTAACACTCTAACTTAACGTCATACATCACATAAGGTTTTAGTTACCAAAAACATCATTTTTATTATTAAAAATAATCCTTATAATGATCATAATCAATTGGTATCAAAAATAGAATTTCATAGTTCAAAAATCAGATTTTCTGGAAAATATTCGGACTAGACGATACCCTTCACGGTACCTTGGTACCGGCTCATGGTACCTCGGTACCGTGCCGGCGGTAGGGGGGTGCCGCCAGTGGACAAGTACCGCCAAAGGACTCCATTGTTGACGGTAGCATCCTACCATTCCGGCGGTAGATGGGTACTGTTTGGAAGGTACTATACCTAGCTACCGTTCGGGCGATAGTGTGTTACCGTGCATTGTTTATCGTCTTCTTCCTCGGGGTCCAATTTCAAGAATTTCATTTTTAGTCACCAAACTTCAATTAAACTATATAGAAATGTTCTCCAATGTTCATAGATCATTTTGGTAACATTAGTTCGTAGTTTTAACAATAATTTTAAGGTTTATGATTCTTAGTTCTTCAAACATGTCAAACACAAAACTCAACCAAATGACCATTTGTGAACGTAGAAACGACCTATATGAACATTCTAGTCATTAGATATATCTACGAGTTTACCTCGAAGCTAAATGATGATTCCAGCGCTTGACAGCAAAATTTCCGGCGAAAACCACGACTTGCTCCGACGAATTCTCACCAAATTGACAGCACAACGGTGTTCCTCTCTCAACAAGGAACAAAATAGAAGAAGAAATTATGAAGTTTGGTTACGAATTGAGGAAGGTGAGGTATCTTTATATAGTGAAGAAGTTAGAGAAGATGACATTGGGTTGCTATCTGCGATATTTCGTTCGGCGTAGTGGGATAAGCAATGATACGTTCCGATTTAATATGCCACTCTCTGATTGGGACCAATTTTGGTTCCAGTCGGGGTACATTTTTTGATCCAACTTTCTTTGATTTGAATTCCGCTTGCACTGTTGTGATCAGACAGTCAAATTCTATCCAATGATATATTTTTCATAATTATTTGTAATACTTTTTATGACATCATATTTTTGGGTATTTGACTTTGACAGAGTCAAAATTGATTCAGTTGACTTTTATTCAAAAAAGTTCTCATATTTAATTCATATTAATTATTATCATGATTTATTTTAATAAATCATTTTAAAGTCTACTTTATAATTAATTTCTTTATTTATTCTTGATTTGGGTTTGTACTTAGGCTCCCAATCAAGACCACACAAATACTCAACATATTGGATTTATCTCTATGAGATTTATCCAGATTGTGACATTGGATATCAAAACATATTTCTAATTGGCCCAAAGCCCAACAACAATTTATTTTAATCAAAACAAATTTGATTAATTTGAATAATTATCTATTAATAATTCTAGGGTATGTTTTGAGGCGTTACAATATCCATATAGAGCAACCACCGAGATACATAAATCCCCAACATCTGCACTATGTTTGCAAGTTGCGGAAGTCCTTGTATGCTCTCAAACAGGTCCCACGCGCGTGGTATACACGCCTATAATCTTTTTTGCAAGGTCTTGATTTTCGTTGTTCTGTTCATGACACCAGTTTATTCACTCATCACTGTGCTCGAGGAACGGTCATAATACTTGTCTATGGTGATGATATTGTCATTACAGCCAGCTCATCCGCACTCATTTCTGAAGTTACTCAAGCCATGCACCGCGACTTTTGATTGAAAGAACTTGGTCTTTTAAATTACTTCCTTGGCACTGAAGTCAAGCACACCAAGGATTCCATACTACTCCATCCAACCAAATACGCGCGTGATCTTCTGCGCTGGGCAGGCATTTCAGAATGCTATCCGGCCATTACTCCCATGACGGCTTGACCAGTGATCAAGTTTTCTGCTCGTTTGAAGGTTGGTCTCACTTCTGGAGCATTATCGGTGGTTTGCAGTATCTAGATGTTACTCATCTGGACATCCAATACGATGTTAATTGGGTGTCTTGGACTATGCACGACCCTACTGACCGAGATTATCACACCTTGCAGCATATTCTACGATACCTAAAAGGTACTATACACTTTAGTCTTCTTTTTCGTGGGGGGGGGGGGACTTTATTTATCTGTTTACTCTGATTATGATTGGGAAATGATAAAGATGATAGCAAGAATTACTGGTTACACACTCTTGCTTGGTCCCAATCTCATCTCTCGGTGTACGAAAAAACAGATCCGTGTCTCTATGCTGAATATCATGATATGACTACAGGCATGTTATATTACAAACACACACCACAACAAAGAATTCCTTGCGAATTCAAAAATCATTTAACTATAATATGGAGCTAAATAGATTTGATGAAAACTGAATCCCACGTACCGACCTACTTATGAAATCAAACCGTGCGATTCAACCAATCTACAACTTGCAAAAAATTGAAGAAAACTAGTATGAATCAATTCTCATTCATAAGAGATTTAATATAAATATTCAAAGAAGAACAAAATCCCAAAAAGAACACAAACCTTATTTCTTTTAGAATTCTCAAAATTAATAAAACAAATTAAAGTGTAAAATTGAATTTAAAATAACACTTTTATAATGAAATTGGAGAAGAAAATAAAATTGAAAAAATAAGGGTTACCAATTGCTGAAAAAGATGATCAAGTGAAGAAATTGGAGCTGCTGCAGTCGCTACCGTCGCCGTCCTCCGCCGCCTGGCCGCGTCTCATTATTCCGTCAATTCCCCCTTCATTCGCTACTGGAATGCTGCCCTAAATTTATAGAAAGAACATTTTGTTTCTGTGGTCCGTTTTAGAAGAACGCGCAAGGGAGCTGTTGTGCTCCTTGGCTTAAATCTTGAATTGATTAATTGTCAAATTGAATGAGTCTTCCTACTAAAGATGCTGCACTTCATTGAAATTTGAGAAGCTGCTTGTGGGCTTCGAAAGAGAACAAAATGATGATAGTGGGCTTCAATTTTCTTCTAGAGGAGCTAAAAATTGGTGTGCTAGGTTTTAGCTTTGAGCCTACCTTTATATTTTTGGGTTTTGAACTCTCCCTCAAACTCAATTTCTTCTTTCAAACTTGAACTTCAATTTGGTCTTCCACTTTATTTTTTTCAAGAAAAAAAGATATCGGATAACTTGGTCAGAAAAAATAAAATAAAAAATAATAGAATGTAAAAAGTGATTAAAAATCTACTATTTATACAAGAAATTTAAAAATTGTAAAAATGAGAATTAAAATAAAACTAAGCTAAATAAGTAATTATTATACTCTAAAAATATTTAAAAGGAGAAATTCACATCATTACTTCCAAAATTACATAATTTTACATAAATACTCTGAGATTTAATAAATGACACACATACTCCCATAATCTTCGTATCTTTACATCAATACTCCAACATTGAAATATGTTTACACCAGTGCCCCAACATTTGGAGCATAGATATAAACAAAAACGAATTCTTAGAGCAACGATGTAAACATATGAAAATTTTAGGAGTATTGAGATCATTAATTAAATCTCGGAGTATTTATATAAAATTGTGTAATTCTGAGAGTAATGGTGTGAACTTTTCTTATTTAAAAATGCCTAAAAATAAATAAAAAGTATTAACCCAAACTTGAACGTCCTCGTTCAAAAGACCAAAATAAAACCATTTAAATTTTATCATCATTAAGAAGAACAAAAATACACTTTACACCCCTCACTTAAGACTTTATCCCCTTCACATTTTAAAAATAAAGTGAGCTAAAAATCCTACAATGATGGAGAGCTAAATTGTGAATTTTTCAGGCTTTACAAAAATGCTATAAAAATGCTGCAAAAAAGTTTCTTATGGATATGGTTTAGAACGTCTTAATAGCAGCGGTAGCAAGGTGTATCAATAAGTCTAAAAATATAAAAATCACACAATTTTCTAAAAATAAAAACTTTCTAAAACTGGAATCTTTTTCAAATTTTATATCAAGCAAAGTTGATTGGGCAGCATCTAGATAGTATGTGGATGACCAGTTCTAGAAAACTAAATTCTAGGGGATACCTAAAAGGATTTCAAACTTTTTAAGGTCAACTTTATTAAGTAAAAGGGCATTAGAAGTCAAGGCGAGTGTATAAAAGAAACATTTGTCATCCTTCAGAATAAAAGCTCAAAGAAAAAAGAGGTTTATGGGTCATTTTTAAAATCAATGCTCTAAATAAAGGAATATGCAACAAAGAATGACTAAAATATTTGGACCTAAAACCTATTTTTTAAGAACATTTGCCCAAAAATACTCCCCCAAGAAAATGGAATAAATATGAGAATATCAAATACGCTTACTCTTAAATTATGCATAGTTCTGAATGCATCTATATAATATGCAAATAAATAACAAGAATAGAGTATGACCAAGAAAGAAGGGGATTGGGAATCACAACAAAAGTAAAGGAGAAGGGAAGGAAAAGGCAAATTAAATTATAAAAAGTATAAGCGGGATCATTTCCTTCAATCCCTTCTATATTGTGCTTTTTTGGACTTAAAAATTTGCAAACAGAGGCTAAGACCAATTTTTTTAGCACCGAAGAAAAAAATCAGATTCAAAACAATGCAGATTTTGAGTTTATAGCCCAAAAAATCAACTTAAAAGAAGCTGAATTTTTCAATTTCCAGCTCAAATAAGAACATATTTAAACACCCAAGGTTTAAGGAAACTGAAAAATGGCAATATACCAACACCCGGGTACTAAAAGTTGTTTCAAAACAAATTTTGCACCATTTCTATGCAAATTTTTACTCCAAAGCAGCTAGCCTCTACCTATGACTTGGCAAATCTTGCATAAATCTTAAAGTAGATGGTTGGAAGCGTATATGATTTAGAATAACAATTAAGCTCACGAACAAGCAACATAACTCTTTTTTGTTTCAATTTAATACTTCTTTTTTTGTTTTTTAGTACAAAATGTAAGAGAAAAAGAAAGAAAAAAAAAAGATAACTAATCTTATAATTACTAAAAATACTACTACATCAACACGAAAAAGAATTGTAAGAAAAGTAAGTTGATTGTTAAAAGAAAGAAAAAATCAAATTAACAACCACACAGGGGGATATAGTACAAGAAGTTAAGTTTGAAATAACCACAAGGAACTTTAAAAAAATTAAAAATGCTATAAAAGTTAGTGGGTTGCCTCCCAAAAACTGTTCGATTTAATGTCATTGGCTAGACACAGCTTACTATTTGCTAATGGATATTCAAATAAACCATCAAGAGTAGTAAAGCAAATAAATTGTGTTTCTAACATCCAAAAGATAAAACAAGATAAGCATCAAGAATTGAACTCTAATCAAGGAATAACACTTAATGCTCAATTAAGAAAAAACATTCAACACTTAATGCTCAATTAAGAAAAAACATTCATTCCTCAAAAAAAAGAACAAACAATGAGATTCAAGAATTCAATATATCAAGAAAATTCATCTTTGAAAAAAACAGATTTTGTTGATCCTTAGCACCTTTAGAACATAGTTCAGCATCCATGGATCAAAACCTAAGTGTAAAGTCATGTTATGTGCTTTCAAATCAATTCCAAAGAAAATGTTTAACTCGAATTCATGATTGTGCACATAAACACCTAAGGAACTCAAAAATCATCTTGGACATCAAGAAAAGAATGCAGATTTTTTCTTTCAAATGGCACTTCAGATCTGATTTTCAGCAGATTTGGCTTTTTAAACTTAAATGATAGCATGTAAACATCATGGTATGGTTCTAAATGTTGTCCCTAAGAAAAGTATAGCAATCATAGTTCAAATTTCTGCAAAGGAGTACTCTTAGGGAAAATACAGACGGTAAGCTAGGGCATTAACACTCGATGCTAGGCTGCTAATTGTTATTGGATATTATGATTTTTATTATTGATTGATGATTATGATGAATATTATTGATTAATCATTATGATGATTGGTGGTCCCAAAGTGGTGAAATACAAAGTCTAGAGGGGGGGTGAATAGACTTTGTTACAGATTTAAAATCTTTTTCGTTTCTTTTGAAAACGAGAAAATGAGTGTTAATCTAGAGTCCTTGTGAACTTTAGATTGTGTGCGGAATTTGGTGGGTGGAGTGAGCAGTAATCAATATGGATAGGTTAGTTTTCACAGTTAATATAATTGCAAGTAAGAATAAAGATAAGAGAGAGAGACACGCAAACTTTAACGAGGTTCGAAGGTGGGGTAATCCTTCTACGTCCTCAAAATCCACTATGTAGTTGGTTGTTGAATAATGAACCAACAGTTACACTTGTGTGAATTTCTGCACGGTATATCTTCACAAGACCAATGTTGCTACTGCACTCGTGCTGGCTTTGTTGTTCCTTCGAAGGTCAAGCTTCTTCAACAACTGCAAGATCCGAACAATAGGACTTGCAAGATCAACTTGTAAGAGAGTTGACCTACCCCCTTTTAATCAATAAGTTTGATCAAAAGTAATATCCTTCAACGTGGTGTGGTGCTTGAGGCAAGGAAACCTTCAAGTGTTTACACTATAGCTTTTTGGAAGGAGGAGAAGTTTGCTTCTGGATAAGGAGTTTAGAAATCTCTCTTTATCAAGCTTTTTGGGCTAACTGTGAATGAGATAGCTTTAGTGATTGCTTCGTTGTGTTGTTGTATCAACGTATCTCATCGTGTTCTCTTCAGTCTTCCAAGGATGCTATTTATAGCTGGATTGG